ATATTCACAGGGGCTGAAACGAAGGAAAACTGGCTATTAATTTCGAGCGAAAACTTCCAGGAATTTTTGACAGACATTTACCTGCCACTCGATAACCAGGTTCGTGACAGGTGAATGCACATGGTGAAGGGGAAGGGAGGGGAAGGGAGGGGGAGGGAGGGGAAGGGGAAGGGAGGGAAGGGAGGGGAAGGGAGGGGAAGGGAGGGAAGAGTGCGGGGGTAAAGGAAGGGGGAGGGGAGGAGAGGAAGTCCCTTCTTAGTGAAAATCAGGAAAAGAAAAACGCCCTTTTAATGGAATCTTTAATTATTATCATTACCATTTTCTTTTTCACTGAACCGTTACTCTCCACAAAGTCGGACACGTCACTGAGACTAAATAATACTTACCCTCAAGTTCTTTTAACAGTTACTGAAATAAATGAAACTCAAAACATTAAGATAACTTTTCTTATTTTCATTTTGAATTTAAGTTCGTATTTTGTAAGTTCTGAGATGTCCGAGTTCATAAATGTAATAATAATAATAATGATAATATAATAATAAAAACAAGACTATACACTGTACTAAAACTTGAATCATACGGACAGTTTTATACGGAATGGATAATCAAATTATTTATCAATACAAATTTCATGAAACAGATATATTTACACCCACACACACACACACACACACACACACGCACACGCACACGCACACACTCACACTCACATAAAAACGTAATGATAGATAAATAAACAGACAAATAGACGGATATCCACAGATAGCTAGACAAACAGACAGCCAAATAACATAAGATACAACACAGACATTCCCCGCAGGTCAAAATCGCTAACTTCAGCGACAGGGACGACTCAGCGACCCTGTGGGAGGTCTAGCAAATCGGCGAGAATTTCGACCAGCACCTGACTCCCGTAGGTCGCTGGACCCTCGCGACCCAAGATCCAAACGACGACTCCAGTGACGACTCCGGGGCCTTCAGGAGACATGGCTCTGCACCTCCAGCCTCCTGGGGGGTTGCCATACCCGCGGGTGTTGGTGTGAGTGTGAAGGTTCTGAATCATGGGGTTCTGGAGGGACCTGTTGACGACCCCATGTTCCGGAGGTCGGACCTGACTGGACTGCCTATCACGTGCACTAGCATCGGTGTAAGATTTTTGTATTTGTTTTTGTTTTCTGTTATTTTTTGTTATTGTGTTTGGCGATTATTTGCATCGGTGTGTTTTTGTATTTGTTTTTGTTTTCTGTTATTTTTTGTTATTGTGTTTGGCAATTATTTGCATCGGTGTGTTTTTGTATTTGTTTTTGTTTTCTGTTATTTTTTGTTATGGTGTTTGGCGATTATTTTCATCGATGTAAGCATTATTTTCTTGATATATGGTGATATATGGTGGTGACTGATGATAATGATAATGACGGTAACAATACTGAATCTAAGTCTTCTTTGAAACCAATTAAGTGATTTACAATAAATTCATTTTCGTTAGCATATTTCTGTAAAAAAAAAAAAATTCATCTCAATATGATCAATTAAAAACTTGACTTGATGTTAACAGATTGAAGCCAGATCCTCATTTCATATGAACAAATTTCACGAAAAAACTCATTCCATCTTTAATTATTTCAGTGAAATCCTCATATCATTTCAACGTATTTGAATGGAACCTCATTCCATATCAACATATTTCAGGGAAAACTTCATTTTACCTGAACAAATTTCACTGAAAAACCTCATCTCATCAGATCTTTCACGGAAGCCCTATCATGTGAACTTATTACCATATTTCATTTCAACGCGTTTCAGTCAGAACCTCATTCCATTTCGGCATCATTTCAACACATTTCAGTCAAAACCTCATTCCATCTTGGCATCATTTCAATTCATTTCAGTCAGAACCTCATGCCACATTACCATCTTTCACTCGCACTTCTTACTTCCCGTGCCATTCTTTACCAACGTCTTAATACCCACTTCTTTCTCCAGTACAAACCTCTGTCCATTATCACCCGCCAAGCCAACGGTACCGTGCATGTAGGTGGTGTTATGGGGAAAATCTTCGACATGTTTTAAAGAAATCACCAATTTCACGTGAGTCGGATCGAAATTTATACCTTGTGACTGATGACTCGTAAGTTGATTTTTGGGGGGGGATGTTATGATATATTATTTTTATTATTTTTACGGCTTTATTGTGCTTTTCTTTAGTTTTGTTGTTATTGTTTTCAGTATTGATATTATTGTTTTCAATATTGATATTATTGTTTTCAATATTATTTTTGTTGTTTTTATTATTATTGTTATTGATACGATAATAATCATATTAATCTAAAATGAAAAATGATATCTGTGGGAAAAGACACTCAAAAACCCCTCCCGTTCCCTCTCGCCCACAGCTACACCTGCCATGAGGTCCGCGACGGCCAGTGGGATGCCGTGACCCAAGGAGAGTGGTCAGGACTGGTCGGCGAGGTCGCGAGAGGTGAAGCGGACAACGCCATCGCTTCACTCACCATTTCTCAACAGCGAAGCACCGTCGTCGATTTTCTCGTCAGCGTCGCAGTTTCCGGGTAAGTCGTACGTGACATGAAAAAAGAAATCGTGTGTGTTGATAGTCCGGGTAAGTCATTAAAAAAAATCGTGTGTGTTGATAGTCCGCGTAAGTCATTAAAAAAATCGTGTGTGTTGGTAGTCCGGGTAAGTCATTGAAAAAAATCGTGTGTTGATAGTCCGGATAAGTCATTAAAAAAATCGTGTATGTGTTGGTAGTCTGGGTAAGTCATTAAAAAAAATCGTGTATATGTTGGTAGTCCGGGTAAGTCATTGAAAAAAATCGTGTGTTGATAGTCCGGATAAGTCATTAAAAAATCGTGTATGTGTTGGTAGTCTGGGTAAGTCATTAAAAAAAAAATCGTGTATGTGTTGGTAGTCCGGGTAAGTCATTAAGAAAAAATCGTGTATGTGTTGATAGTCCGGATAAGTCATTAAAAAAATCGTGTGTGTTGATAGTCCGGGTAAGTCATTACAAAAAAAAATCGTGTATGTGTTGATAGGAATTTTGTTTATGTAGTATGATGGTTCCTACAGGATCGTGTGAATAAGGCCGGGGTTAATTTCAGGATATAGGGTTAAGGGTTAAAGAAATCGTGTATATGTTGGATTTTGTTTCTTTGTTCTATGTAGTGTGATTGTTCCTACAGGATCATGTTAATAAGGTCAGGGATAACTTCAGGAAATATGGCTAAGGGTTTAAGAAATTGTTTATATGTTGTTTGTTTATTTGTGTAGAGTGTTGTTATGATATAATGATGGATGATGATGTGGATATTTTGAATTTGAAGTGATTATAATGATTAGGGTAATCACATGTAAAATGACTGTAGTAAAGTGACTTTAATGATTATAATAAAAAACAAAAACAAAATAACAGCTACAGAATCCCCCTGAAACGTCCCTCCAACTCGGACTACATGTGGACAGTCTACACCAAGCAGTTCGAGGGGGACGCTTGGCTGGTGACGGCGGCGCTGACGGTGGTTCTGGCGGTCCTCGTCTTCCTCGTCCTCCGTCTGTCTCGTCGGGAGGAGGAGCTCTCGCCGTCCTGGTCTGCGTTCACGGTGCTGGGGATCATGTTCGGACAAGGTGGGTGAGGGGTTTGAGGGAGGGAGGTTGTTGGGGAGGGAAGGGAAGGGAGGTTGTTGGGGGGAGTGAGGTTGTTGGAGGAAGGTGAGGTTGTTTGAGGGAGTGAGGTTGTTGGGGGAAGTGAGGTTATTTGAGAAAATACAAATAAACAAATAAACGATAACCAATTAAAAACAAACAAAAAAAAAACACCGATCCCCCCTCCCCTTTCCCCCCACCCCCCTCCCTCAGGCTCGATCCTGGAATTCCGCTCCCCCGCCGGCCGCGTCCTGATGGTCAGCGTCCTCCTCCTGCAGTGTGGTCCTGGCCTTCTACACCAGCAACCTCGTGACTGACCTGGCCGTCAACCTCCCCCCCCCACGAGGGCCTGGAGGACATCCACAGGGACCCCTCGGTGACCTTTGGCAAGCCCTCCCCCCCCCCCACGAGGGCCTGGAGGACATCCACAGGGACCCTCGGTGACCTTTGGCAAGCCCTCCCTCCCCCCCCCCCCCACGAGGGCCTGGAGGACATCCACAGGGACCCCTCGGTGACCTTTGGCAAGCCCCCCCCCCACGAGGGCCTGGAGGACATCCACAGGGACCCTCGGTGACCTTTGGCATCGAGCAGGAGACGGCACTGGATGGCATCTTTCAGGTCTGGTGGATGGGTTGAGGGTGGGTGTTTGGGGGGGGGGGGGGGTGGACGTCACTTTGGTTGGTATTCTCCTCATTATTTATTAGCATGATCATCACCATTATCATTTCTTTCATTGTTATCATCGTTCTCTTCATTATTCTCCTCCTCCTCCTCATTATCCACATCCACATCATCATCATCACCACCACCATTATCATTATCATCATCATCATCACCATTACCCTGATCTTCATCACCACACCTCCTCCTTCTCCTCCGCCTCCCCCCCCTTCTCTTCCTCCTCCTCACCCACCACCACCACCACCACTACTACCCCCCCTCCTCCTCCAGAGCTCGACCACGCCCATCTACCGGTCGATCTACCAAAGCCTCAAAGCCGAGGACACCGTCGGTTCAACAGAAGAAGGGATGCGACGAATCTACCGCGAGAGATATGCCTTTCTTGTGTGGGAACTTTTCCACACGTTGAACTACCAGGGGGACTGCGAGAGCTACCTTCTCCCTCAGAAGTACTTCACTGATCGCGCCTCCTTCGTGTTGGCGAAGGGTTCTCCCCTCGCGCCCCTCTTCAACAATGTGTGAGTTGGTCTGTGTGTGGTGTTTGGGTGTTTGCTGTGGGTTTTATTCTATTTTTTTTCTCTTTTTTCTTTTTTCTCTCTCCCTCTCCCTCTTTCCTTCTCCTTCCCTCTCTACCTCTCCTCTTCCTCTCCTTCCTCTCTCCCTCTTTCCTTCTCCTTCCTCTCCCCTCTCCCTCTTTCCATCTCCTTCCCTCCTTCCCTCTCCCTCCGTCCCTTTCTCCTTCTCCCATCTTCCCTCTCTCTCCTTTCTCCTCTTTCCTTCTCTTCCTCTCCTTCTTTCCTTCCTCTTCCCTCCTTCCCTCTCTCCCTCTCCCTTCTTCCTTCTCCTTCCCTGTCTCCCTCTCCTTCTTTCCTTCTCCTTCCCTCCTTCCCCCTCTCCCTCTCCTCTTCCTTCTTCTTCCCTCTCTCCTCTTTCCTTCTCCTTCCCTCTCTCCCTCTCCCTTCTTCCGTCTCCTCTTCACTCACCCTTTTTCCCTCTCCTTCCCTCCTTCCCTCTCTCCCTCTCCCTCCTTCCGTCTCCTCTTCACTCACCCTCTTTCCTTCTCCTTCCCTCCATCCCTCCTTCCCTCTCTCCCTCCTTCCGTCTCCTCTTCACTCATCCCCATCTTCTTCCACAGCATCCTTGACCTCGGTTCGTCTGGCCTCCTCTCCAAGTTCTGGCTGGAGGTCAAAGTGACCACCAACGACTGCGGCGCCCTGGAGACCGCGTCCTTGGAGTTCCTGACGGTGGTGACGTCCTTCCTGGTGCTCGTCGTGGGGGCTGTGGTGTCCTTCGGTCTCCTGGGGGCGGAGTGGCTCCTTTCGCGAAGAATCTGGGGGAGGTCCTGGGGGATGTGAGAGGAGCTGGAGGTCTTGTTCGATGGGGGTGGGTAGTGGGTGTGGGGGAGGGAGGGAGGGAGGGTGGGTAGGGAGTGAAGGAGAGAAGGAGGGTGTGAGGGAGTGAGGGAGGGTGGGTAGGGAATGAGGGAGAGAAGGGGGAAGGAAGGGAGGAGGGTGGGTAGGGGTGTGGGAGTGAGGGAGGGATGGTGGGTAGGGTGTGGGGAGTGAGGAGGATGGGTGGGTAGGGAGTGAAGGAGTGAGGGAGGATGTGAGGAGAGAAGGAGGAAGTAAGGGAGGGAGGGTGGGTAGGTGTGGGGGAGTGAGGAGGGTGTGAGGGAGTGAAAGAGTGAGGGAGGGTGTGAGGGAGAGAAGGAGGAAGTAAGGGAGGGAGGGTGGGTAGGAGAGGGATGGGTAGAAGAGATAGGGAATGGGGGAGAATGAGGGAGTGAAGGAGGGAGGGTGGGTAGGAGAGGGATGAGTAGGGTGTGAGGGAGGGAGGGAGGGAGGGTAGGGTGTGGGGGAGTCGAGGAGGGAGGGCGGGTAGGAGAGGGATGGGTAGGACAGGTAGGGAAGGAGGGAGGTTGGTTTGTGGGTAGATGGGAGGGAAGGAAGAGGGAGGGGAGGGGGAGAGACGGTGGGAGAGGAGAGAGAGAAAGGGAGGGA